CCTGCCACGTGTCTGGTGTAATCCATTCTTTCATTTTTCTAGTCTTCTGCATCCCCAGACAGGTTTTACTTGCTTCATCAAAGATGTTCCTCACTTGCCTCCACTGTTGATTTACAGTGTCTTCTTCTTTAATGCCTTGCTAGTCTATGTTATTCAAGGCTTGGAACCTGTTCCTTAGCTGTAGGACAAAGGCATTTTTAACCCTAGGGTCTTGTAGTCTGCTGATGTCATATCTAGGGGTGGTGTGTTTGTTTGGCCCAGCTATTCTGAGTTTCAGCCTCACCTTTGCCGTCACAAGATGGTGATCGCTACCTGCATCAGTCCCTCTTCTAACTGTTACGTCAATCAGGGAGCGGCGCCACATGCTGTTAACCATGAGATGGTCTATTTGGTTTTGATCCCGCCCATTTGAGAATGTCCAGGTGAGTTTGTGAATGTTGCAATGCGGGAATAAAGTTCCACTGATGATCATGTTGTTGAATGCACACCTCTTTTCCAGCCTCTCTCCATTGTCATTCTGGACTCCACATCCTTCTCTTCCCAATAGTCTTTTAAGATTCACGTTATCTGAGCCCACCTTGGCGTTAATTTCACCTATCACAAGCAGGAGGTCCCTACGATGGACATTCTCAAGTGCCGCTTGGAGCTGTTCATAGAAGGCTTCTTTATCTCTGTCGTTGCTGTCATTAGTAGGTGCGTAGCATCGTTAGTCTGCCTACCCTTTAATCGTGCGAGAATAATCCTACTGTTTACTGGCTTCCATTCCATTAAGTACTTTTCCATTCCTTTCTTCATAGTGATTGCAACTCCCGCATGATGTGAATCGTCTTCTCTCCCAGAGTAAAGAACTGTCTCTTCTGTTGTTGTCTTCATTCTCCCAGATTTTGTCCATCTACTCTCACTGATGCCTAAGATATCTAGTTTGTAACGCTTCACTTCAGCAATGACCTGCGCCATCCTATCATATACATGATATTTCAAAATAATTATTCACTTGCTTCAACCGATATGGACCTTTAGTATAATTTCTGGAGGTAAATATAAGAATTGGACATTCTGATTGGTTGAGAAGTTCATCATATGACGCTATATCCACCCCGCTAGAGCTTGGTTACTAAGCTCGCCAGCTTTGCCATATTGGCAAGTAAACATGGCGGACCGTTGCTGAATGAAGTTTTCATTTATTCGAAATACATCACTCCAAGACCAGAATATTTGAAAGTATGGAGAATTTTCAAAATGACTGCTGTCGCCCTTGGACTAGAAGTCTTTGCAAGAACTCGTATTCACGGCCTCTAAGAACCGTAAAAGTAGTGGTTGCGTCGATCGCCAGCAGGTCAGATCGATTGACCGAAATTTATTTTTCTTCCAACTAAAGCTACTCATTTTTAGGCAATGATGACCACTGTGAAAGAAGTCAACAACGATAAAACAAAGGTTCCGGATGAATTTATTTTTCCTAGTGTTTCGCTCGTTTGTTTTACTGCCGAACTCGATGAGTAAATTGATTGCCAATCGATGTACAATACATGTAAGTTTATCATTAAAACTATAGCTGCATACGTGTATGAAAAAGAACAATTGCGTCTGTGTTTTAGTCCGTTATTTTGTAGTCCTTGATATTCACCTCTGAAATTTATACTAAAACAATTATTCGCCTCAGGCTCAGTGAACATTGGTGAATAGTCACCTCAACTTCGTCTTGGTGAATATTCACCAATGTTCACTTCGCCTTTGGCGAATAATAATAACCGAGAGTGAGGTTGTTACGGGAAAATCTCAAACTGAGGCCTTGCCGTATTGACCGAGCGATAGCGAGGTCAATACGATAGGCCGAGGTTGGAGATTTTCCTGTAACCACCGAACGGTCGAGGCTATTAAGTTGTTTATTATATGGCTCATGAATTAGAGAAAAGAAAAGAAAACTATTCGAGCGGAAATCGTCAATTTACATCCGGCGATGCGCGCGTTTACCGATTCATTCATCGTCTCAAACCGAGGGCAAAACTGCACAGTCAGTGAACTTTACGTATTCCGTTAAAGACACACATTTCTTTACGGGAAAAATGATTGTCACAGCCTCAAAAAGGTATTTTAGTATCGTGGTACCACAACTTGATGGGGGAGTTTTTCCGACTTTTGTGGCGAAACGTCAGCGCATATAGAAAAGACAGAAAGTGCTTCAAAATAGTCCAAACCAACGGTCTTTCGGTGAAAGAAAATACCAATGCTTTAGAATTTACTGCTCAGAATAACTCGATCTTCGCATTCGCTTTCGACAACATATCTTCGCCTTTTTCATTCTGGGAATTATGGATGAACTTTTCAAGCCTTGTGAACATCTAAAACTTCCTGCAGTTGTCAGAAACACTGTTACCGACAGAAACCGCCCGATTGTTTACATCTGATGATCTTGGAAGCTGATTTACACTTGCTTGTGTTAAAGCGAGGGAACCTATTTGATGAGAACTGTGGCGGAGTTCAGTATTTCAGAAATTGTTGTGACTAAGATGATAACTTGCCGGTGGTGTTTTTCACTTAGTGATTTTAGCTTTACCTAAGACTCGGTAAACTTTGATTGTTTTTCACTAGTGTCCGCCAGGGTTCAAGCTGGTAAGTCAAAAACGACTTCTATATAAATTTTGTTAAGGAAAAATCTCCAAACTTTTAGCTACTCGGATTAAATTTACTTGCTCTTACTGTTTTTAATCGGCTTTCATCGTTTCAATGCGCTTGAATTTTCAGAGCCGGGCTCTTCCTAATTTGCATAATTCGTAATCGGCCCGTGGGCATTACGGCTGCATAATGACCGCTCAGATCTCGCTCTTAGCTAACCAGAACGCGCGTTATATCGGCCACAAGCCAAAGCCATATAATAATTGATAGTTATTGTGGAGGTAATACATACATTATTTTAATGGAACTAACATGAGGCGTCTGTCTTGGCGGAATATTGCAATTTTGAAATTTTTAATATTGAATCCGGATTTTCCTTTGCATTGAGTTTTTGCAAACCGTATTCTTTTTCTATGTGTGTTGACATCAGACAAGGTAAAATAACTGTCATGAATTTAATTAAAAAACGTACGTAAATATATATATATATGTCTGAATATTTGAAAATCGTGCCAACTTTGGGGCAAATCTATTGCGTCCTATCGCCTTTGCTCCGCTTGAAAATCCAGCAGGGGCGGGGGGACTCAGTCAAGGAGGGGTTGGGCAGACAGATCAGGTGCCTGGCTACCAGAGGAATCAAAGCGGGGGCCCCAGGGTCTAACCTTAAGGGGTAAGATGGGTCACAGAGAGAGGCTTTTTTTGTCAGTTAAACTGGTCTTTTCTTTGCAAGACAAGCTTTGGCCAACCATGCCCTGCAGCCTTAGGGGCCAGCAGCTAGCCAGCCAGACACAAGCAAGGTGAGTGAGTACATTGTTTAGTAACAGACTGTCTGTGATTGATTGATTCAGAAAGTGTCAGGGTGGTTGTGTTGAAATTAGCACGGTTTTCATAACTCCAGATATACATCTATATTTATAAAGATGCTCACCTCTGACACTTAAGGTAAGTTCTGCTGAGCTGCATGTCGCGAAGTTTGACACCATGCAGTCATACTGGCCAGAATTACTTCTTGAAACCTTCTCGATACGAAGCTCGCAGGATTTTGAGTCTTCCTTGTCACGAAAACCACCCCCGCATATCTTAACGCTTTGGCCTCTAAAAAACAACTGTACCCCAAACGGTTGACCTTCGTGTAAGTAACCTTCCCTCGACTTGTTTCCAATGCAAACCACTGTGAGGTTGTATCCAGTAGGTATGACGTCAACATCCCGGAATTCCGAAATGTAAAGGGCAATTAATGGAGCTTTGGGAGCTGAGGTAAATAACAAATTAATGTCAGCATTGTCCTTTAAATGCATGCAGAAATAATCTGTCCTGTAGAAGAGAAACTGATATTACAGGAAAAAGATTAAGAGAGATATATTAGGGTTGTTTACCATTTACGCTGAGAAACCGCCTTGTGAACGTTATTTGTAAATGGTAAACGAAAACCTCTGGCCATAAGCTCCGTCCGGATTGGCCATTTAATATTTACTGAAAAAAAAATTCCAAGAGAGCCTAGGAATTCGACCTGATCATTATTCCACTATGGAGGCTGGAACTGGTAAAGAATTGCAAATGGTAAGCTCATTTTCCATTCGGGTACATTTGGTCTGTAAATTTTGGACTACCTGTCAAGATGTTCCGTGTATTTCGCAATTTTTCCGGTTTGTTAAGGCAAAGTTGTCTTGCCATTTACATTCTGACAGAAATTTCGAGAATTTTTGGGTAAATGGTCAAAAACCAAGGTGTCACGGTGCCGCTCGTGAGCACGTTGGTCGAATTCTAATTTAAATTCTAATTTTGGAATTCTAATTTAACTTGTAATCATATTTTAGAATTTTACACGTTTTTGAAATTATTAGGTTTATTAGGTTTCTTTATTTTATTTATTTTGTAACTCCTAATTAACCGCAGGTCCACATCAGCTTATGCTGCCTACATACCGACCTGCGTAAACAAATAAATGATGTATGTATGTATGTATGTATGTATGTATGTATGTATGTATGTATGTATGTATGTATGTATGTATGTATGTATGTATGTATGTATGTATGTATGTATGTATGTAATTTCGGATACTGTTCAATCTTGTATATGTATCCAAGTCTTTGTTCCATTTGGTCAGCGGTCGGGGAACGAGGAACCTTGAGAAGGTCTGTTTAGGGGTCCCAAAATATCAGACTTTAAGGTTGAATTGAATATGCTAAGCTAACAAACACGTGGGTCAATCGTGTTGCTGGTGTTTAACCTCGCTTAATAATAACGTTGTCACCAACACCAAGATAATTATCTCTTGTTAACACCATTCAAAATATATATATTTAATCGATCCGTAACGGAACTTTTGGGAGTCGCTTGTTTCGTCAGTTCGCGCAGTCATGATAAGAAATGAAGAAGCGAGGAACGAGATTGAATTCTGCTGTCTACAGGAAGGAGGAAATTATATTCCTTCGATTTTTTTTCTTTTCTTTTTTGCCATTTGCTAGAACGTTTCAAAAATCTCTGTGTACTCGTATATTTAATTATTTATCCTATACAGCTTCTTTGGCCGAGCAGGTTTGTGGAGAGCTTACAATGTATGCTTACGCTGATTCCGAATCATTTTAACTTAAACGCATCAACGCAAAAGAACTCAACCGACAATTATTTGGTTATCACTTTAACAGGAGAGCAATAAAAGGGTTAGGTTAATTTGAAATTCAAACAGCAGAGTGGTTTTACAACATTTGTTTTTCAGTTTATCTCAATACGTTTTACCTTTTTAAACTAAATTCTTCTGATAAATATTTTTGTAAAAGTTATATTACTTTCCGAGTGGTCAACCTATTTTTTTTTTCTGAAAAGTACATTTTGTGCCCTTTCAAATGAGATACAGTAAACTGCATTGCTGTAAATTCTTGCAATTGGCAAATTATTAAATAAAGAATATGATGCGTTAGATTTGGTATTTTTGGTCCAGTACAGAGTAGAAGGCCTAATGAATAAAGCAAAAACAACGAATTTGAATTAGGCATATAGATCTGGTCGATACAGCTGTACTAGTTGTAAGTATTTTCTTGTTGTCAACGATCGATCAATTAATTCAGGAGACGACCATGGTCAAATGCTTTTAGCTTCAATCGTAGATTTTCCTTTTAAAAACAAGCCCCTATAAATGGAAGAGCTAATTTATACATAAACCCAGCAATAAACTACTCGTTAACAAATGGGCTTTTTGTTCACAGACTGAAATGAATACAAACATAAAAGGGTCATAAGGGCTCTGGGGGCTGAGGAAAATCTCGTGTTTTTAAACAGGAAATTATGAATTACACCATGTAGCAGCTGATGTCTTATAGTGGTAAGCTTCCTGTTATGATGGGAAAGTTGATTCATCGCTTTTTTTCACGGCTGGGCCACCTTTTCCCTTGTCATGGCATCACCAGCCAGGGACATAGCTAGTAGCAAGCAAACCGAGGAACTTGAATTGGCTCAGTAACTTGCTTTCGTTTTTATTTTGTTGTTTATAGTTATCATAAACACCGTAAATACTGTGTAAGGGAATTTAACCATGGGCATGGCCTCAGTCATATTTTTTTTCATGGACATTGTCTCAGGCATTGCTAAAGCTCCATTGCTAATCAAAATTCAATGGATGGAGAGAAATGCGAATTTAACAGAGAAAAACGAGAAACGCGTACTTAGTAGGTAATATGAATTATCGAAAGCGAAAAAAATAATCGCCCCGGTTTGTGCTCAGTAAAAAGAAGCCAACATACATGTGGTTCCGCTGACATAGTGCTGTTAAATTTACACTGGAAATGGAATTAATTTATAAAAAAATAAAAATAGGATTATTCCGAAAAACGCCTGAGAAGACATAGAAAAAAATATTTCTTTTTTTTACAACGGAAATTGATTAAGTTCTAGTTTAAAATAAAACGTCGCATTAAAACCAAGGACTTGGGTTGCAATCCTGGTTTGTGCATGTAACAGACCAAATCTGGTTGTTGTTTTTTTCTTTATATTGTATAAGATAAACCTGACTTTATATTACTCACATTTGTATACGTCCTCTCTTTTAACGCAATCCTGTGCTACGGAAAATTGGAACCAGTTCGTGAAAATGGGAAATCCAAAGAGAAATACATTATGGTAAAAAGCTTTTCTGCACATGTTGCTCAATGAAAGAAGCAGAGACCAGTATATATTATCGTGTGGATAATTTCAGGTAGTCAAATACTCTGTGCTATTTGCAGACATGTAAAACCCAGGAACTTGATCATCAAACTCCTGAATTGTTCTATTGGCAGGACTAAAATGTATTTAGACTCGCTGCTGACAACAACTCTCAAATTTCAGTTTATTGCAGAAATGGTGCCCCACGAAGATTGTCGCAATCATCAAAATGAGTCTGATCGCTTAAGTAATGAGTACTTGCATTGAACGAAGTATTAATATCAACGCATCAGGGCACGTAATAAATTTACGTTTTAAGAGCAGAACTTAAAGAGAGATGTTTTGGTCATGTTACTGCCGCCATATTGGTGCCACTCCGCGTCTCTATAAATTTCGGTTAGACATTTTTCTAAATAACACGCGAATGAAAAACCACACAGACTTTAATTCTTGGCGAGGCTGTTAATATATAAATCATGTTTCATTCTTGTCCTAAATTATCTAATGATTACGATTTTTATTTTTCATGACATGATCGTGAAAACTTGCAAATGCTATCGCTGCTGCGTTATGCAAGGTTTCTCACCTTGAAATAAGAGCTGTTGTTTTATCGAAGTCAGACATATCATGGTTCTATTTAAGTGGCACTCAGTTGTTTTGGGTTTTTGGAACAATCATAAAATGGTTATGAAATACATAGAGGATGGTACACAGTGGCGCGAATACATATTCTTTTTGTTTTTGTTTTGAGTGGTAACACGAAGGTAGTTCTTAACACGAGAAAATAAAATTCGTATTTTCAAGTCACCGCGTACATTACCTTTTTCTATCATATAAACAAGCTGACCCCACTCGGGTCCCGAATGTAATTTCGTTTGACATTTACGAGTGGTATTTTCTAGTGAAAATTGAAATGTTCTTGTATAATAATGAAGGATTGTATGTCCTCACAAAGGCCGCGCGAGATATTCGACCTTAATAGAATCAAAGTGCCTGGGACCCTCGTAATTTGGAAAATGCATTATGAAACAGTTTCAAGGCCACTGAAAGGAGTTCGTTTTCACTTATTGGGTGCACTCTCGAGTAATGTCTTTTTTTTTTTTTTTCAATTCACCCCCTTCATTTACACACATGCACCTCTTTGTAAAAGGTTTCAAGAAGGTTGTTTTATGCCAAGATCAGTTTTCAGTAATAAAAAGCGTAGGTGTGAAGATCATTTTTAGTTTGTTCTTTTACTGTAGTCCGAAATGACAAGAGCATTCTGTTTGGTCAACATGCTCAGTAATTTCCTACTTGACGAGAAAACAAACAAACAAAACAAACAAACAAAAAGCGACAGTTTTCTGAACTCATTTCAATCCGACATCGAACTCAGGCTAAACTTTTTGGTACAATGTCCTCAGAACTGACTTGAATCTCCTGTCACATCCAGAACCCAGCGGTTCAATACAAACTCACTACTAAAAGGTTGCTTTCTTTCTTTCTTTCTTTCTTTCTTTCTTTCTTTCTTTTTTTTTTTCAAAAACATAGACTTAGATTTGATAAAGCGCAGTGGACTTGCTGTCTCTTCAGAGTTAACAGGTATCGAGTTCAATTCCCTGAGGAACACGGTGGTTTCTTATCAACTAACGATCGAAAAATTTACGAGCGATCATTATTGAAAACTGAAGCTAGTCCATATTTTAGATTTTTTAAAAGATCCTTTGGGTGGGAAAGCCAATTTATCTTAAAAAAAAAAATGACGTAGTAAAATATCATGAAAACACTTGTTAACAACACGGCACGAAAAATTGGATTTACTCTAAATTTGATCCGGATCAAAGTCGAGGTCAAATATGATCATAGCTTTGTTCCAAACTTTGACGTGCGTCAAATGTGTGTCAAAAATGTCATGGCTTTGCCGATACATTTGATCCATGACAAAGGAGAGGGCAAATGTGATCTTAACTTTGACTCCACCTTTGACCCACGTCAAAGGAGGAATCAAATATCTTATGGATTTGCCATACATTTGATCCTTGTCAAAGGCGAGATCAAACATGTCAATAACTTTGACTACAGTTTTGACGCGCGTTAAAGGCGTTCAAAGACACCACGGCTTTGCATACCTTTGATCTCTCATGTCAAAGGCGTTCAAAGGCGTCATGGCTTTGTGCAACTTTGATCCTACGTCATGTCATAGCAAAGGCGAGGTCAAATATGGCCATATCCTGCCACTCGTCTTTTAACGCCTTAATAACCTGCGTTTTCGTATTTTTTTTCTGTTTTAACAATTAAATGAAAGCTTGCTTTCTTGCCAATTTGTATTTTTTAATAAAAAGGTTCTCACTTGACCTGGAGGTGGCACAAGAAAACAGCTCGAAAACAGCTCGAAAATAGGGGGGAAACGCGGCTGCCAGCGGCTTCCCGCATTTTTCTGGTCAATCACAGAGGAGACTAAAGGTCAACGAAGTCGGCTATGAGGAAAGCAGACATTTTTCTTCATTTGGCTTCATTATGGCGGCATTGGTGAAACTTTCATTGTGTTTTGGACCAGGAAAGGTAAGTCT